CTTCTGCTCCGCGGCTGCTGAGTGAGCCCTCATCTGGGACTCTCCTCAGCTCTTTCTGGGACAGTGGCGCGGCTGCACCTCTGTTGGTCTTCCTTGGTCTCTTGTGTTCTGGGGGCCTCTGGATGTCTGGAGTTTTGATCTCCTCCATACCTGCTTCATGCCCTGGAGGACGGGGCTGTGGCCCCCCCACACCCTCTAGCAGATCATTACATGAAGGAAAACAAGCGCGTCCATGCTCACAGGTGTACACACGGGTGATCACACCCACAAACTACACCCTTTTTGGCTCCTACCTCAAAGCACACTGTGTTCTGTTGATCTTATGTGCTGCACAATAATGTTTAATATTTAGTATTTACTGTCATATTCACATATATCATTGTGATGCTGTTTATTCTATTACTCTAGTCTTCTTCTGGTTGTTTTCTTTCTTTCTCAACAGGTGATCCAGGAAAAGAAAAAGAGGGAAAAAAAGCAGATTTTCATTGTCTTCTCTCCATCTCTTTCCTCCTTTTTCTTCCCCTCTCCTTCTGTTAACTTTCTTCTGAACTTTTCTTCTTGTTTTTCTTTCCCGTCCCCGAGTCCAGTCTGGCCTGATTACAATAACTTAGAATAAAAATAACAAATAAAGATCAAATAAACTATGACAATAAGTGGACCAGTATAGCAAAAGGCCCACTTGGGAAAGCAAATCTGTTGGGCATTTTTCTTGGCCTTCAGACAAAAATTCTGATTGCTACAGTGCCAGACTGGACACACAAAAAGAAAAAAAATACAAAATATGAGTAACTGTATTCTGTTACAGTTAGCGTTTAAAAGGGTGGCATTCAGAATACAGTTACTTTGTTGAAATACATGGATTGCACGGCGGTCTTTTCCTGTTTCATATATTAGGCTATGCTCTCTCTATTTTTGGTAATTCCACGCTGGTGGAAACCCAAACAAAACACGCATTAAGAGGCTCAAATGCCTGTGTCTCAATCTGCGGGTTGAGCAACTGATCACCACCTGATGGTGGATCAGATTGCGGGGGGAGGATGCTGGACAGACCTGGCGCTCCTGAATATCACACACAAGTCTCATCCCATCCACAACCTCGTTCCCTCCCCATGGAGCTGCAATCCACTGCTGTTGCTCAATGACAACTTCACCAAACTTGTATTTTCAAAATGCCTTTGTCACAATGAATCAAACAGAGAAAAAGCCATTTTCATACTCCGTGCTGGGAATGATTAAAGGCCCATCTCTGTGAGGTGATCATTTCCTTCTTTGCCCATCTGAATAAAAGCTTAATTTAAAAGATTATTTACTCACATTGCCACATTAGATCGGCGGATTGTTAGCTGTCCTTCATCTAATTTACTCGACCAATGCACAACTCCCACATAGCAAGCAGGTCTGGCCTGGATCTGGTATCAAGCCGTCACTGCTGGTTGACTTCTGGCATGATAAGACATATGTCATCCAGATATGGGCCAGGGCTGGCACTGATGCCACTGTCTATGTGCTGGCATGCCATATTTGACTCAATTATGGTTTGGTTTATGTGGCCCAGGCTCATAGAAAACAGGTCTGGCCCGGATCCAGCATCAAGCTGGCACTTCTGACTGACTGGTGTCATGACAGAGTGTATGTCAACCAGATGTGGGCCAGGTCTGGCAATGAGGTATGTCTTCTATACACACCCCCACTGGCCTGCATGTCTACAAACTATACACTAATCTTTTAAACTCCTGGGGCACTAAACAAGGTTATCCCCATTAGTTTTTGCTTTGCTGTGGTACCACTGGCAAAAATCCCTCTCTTTTGCTGGGATTTCCCTTCTGGCACCAAATTTAAATCTCTTTGTGCAGATTATCTACTCCTATATGTCCCTGATCCAAACAACTAAACCCCAGCAATCCTATCAACTCTCCAAAAATTCAGTTTAAGGCCTTGAGGTTACAACAGTCAGATTTAGGGGATTCGTTACCATGACGCTACCCTCACTTTTCTCCAAATTATTTGGCTGCTATTTCCAAAATGAAGCAGGACTTCCAAAGATGGGCAAGTCTCCCGCTCTCACTAATAAGCAGAATCAATGTTGTGAAGATGAACATTAGGAATTAGGCTCATCCTTTACTGTTTGGTGTGAAATCTTTTAAGGATCTTTATGAAGATGGTGTGTTTTGCAACTTCACTGTTTTATCCTTCAAGTTCTCCCCACTGCCCACCTACCTCTTCTGTTACTTTCAGATTACAGACGGTGCAAGATCCCTGTTTCCCATCTTACCTGTCATAGCCCCTAAGCAGATGTGGAGAAAACTCCTTTGCTCTGATGTGCATCAAAAGTCATTTGCTTCTAATGTGCACGGCAGACTCCTTCCTGTTATTTATTCCTCAACATCTAAGGTTAAATCTGCATGACTCAGCCATGACTGGTACAAGGCAGCTCTTGTCTTTCAATGCCTTCATATGCACTCAGTTCACTCTTGCACAAGTCAAGGTTTTCAGTAGCATTCACCTATCAAAAAAGGTTTACCAGTGTCATTGACCACTGCAATAAATGTCAGATTTTACATTCCAACCACTCATATGCTTTACCACTATTTCCTTGCTTACAAGTTTTGGGAACATTATCATGACACAATTTCCAAAATATTTTCTCAACACCTGACACAGTCATCCCACTTTGCTGTCTTTGGTCTCACAGTAGAACACGACTGATTCTCTATTAATCAGCTGCAGGTCTTAGCATTTTCATAAAGTTTGGCAAGATGACACCTGATCTTCTTCTGGAAGTCCAGCGGTGCTCCCTTTAACACAGTGGCTCCAAGTTCTAGTCCAAGTGATGTATTTTAGTTTATTATAACTCCACATAATCTCATAAAGTAAGCCTATTCCTTGCCCTCGCATTTTTTTGTTAATCCTGTGTTCATTGACCCTTTCTTTCTTTAAAAAGTTTAGATTATTTATGTGCTTATTGTTCTTTTTCTTTTTTCTTGGGTTGGGGTTATATATTGATATATTGATATGTGTGTGTGTGTGTGTGTGTGTGTGTGTGTGTGTGTGTGTGTGTGTGTGTGTGTGTGTGTGAGTTACTATTTGCTTTTGGTTTCTTTCTCAAATGAATTCCAAAATAAGAGGTGTGGTGGGTGTGGTTTATGGCTCAACTGCAAGGTGTAGTGGGTTCAGGGGCAAGTGTGAGGGGATCATCTGCAGGTCATGGCTCCCCTATTTGAGTCACATGGTGGGACCTGCAGAGGAAAGGAGCCCAGAGCGGAACATTGTGAGCTAGTGGGCAGTGTCAGCCTGAAAAAGGCAATGTGTGAATAAAGGACTGTGAAACTTTTAACACATCTCATTCAGCCAATTAACTCTAACATGTGTTAAAGAGAAAATATATCAACATACTCTGTTTGTAGTTCTTGTGCTTTAATTGCTTGTAGCGAGACAGTGCTTTTCTATACTACCTGAGCACTCACAGTACAACTTACTGTGTTTTTCTCTGCACAGATTCCTCTGGATTCCTTCCTTGGGTGTGCAGAGATGTTGCCCTGAGTTTGAGAGTGTTGTTTGGATTCCAGATGTGTGGATTCCCTTCCTATCTGGACCTCTGGATCACTATTCCTCTTTGCACCATGCGTTTTTCCTGTTAAACTTTTAGTTAGGAGCCTTGTCTTTGAGTTTTGCTTTCCTCAGTGGCCTTGACATATATATTTTAGACATATATATATATATTAGACAACAAGGCGAGACTCGTTTGAATGCCTGTGCAACCGTTATTTTTCCTCTAAAGAACAAAACCAGTCTGCATTGTTGTTTAATTTAGCAAGAAAACTTGAAAAGAAACTTCAAAAACCATCCCAATACCCTTGATTCACTCCGCCACACTAATTCACTAATGACTCTCTGGTCTTTACCATGTGCATGAGAAACATGCCTCACCCTCTCCCAAGGTGATTTGAAAAATGGGTCGCAAAAATGGTGTCTGGTTGACTTTTTGTTTTTTCAACTGGTTTATTTTTCAACTGGTGCCTTAGTGTATTTGAAATAAAATATGAATGTAGAATTACAACTTCTATACTATTAGCACAGCTCTAAAATTAATCCAAACAGTTATTGTTTCATACAGCTTTCAGACACCTTTATGATATCAGTGGGACCCTGTTGTTTGCCTCCTATACAGTGCCTCACATCAGCACTCAAAGTACACAATACATTTAGAGCTTGGTATGTACACCTCCCAACACTGTGCATCACTTAGCATGAGCAGATATGAGCATTAAGGTGAATCTTGGGTGACAGCAAGAGAAAACGAGCATTTCAAGGCAAGGGTTAGAGAATTAAGCTGATCAAAAGTATCACTGAACAGGAATACTGGGCTTCTGTGAGAAGTTTTTGCACAGTCTACCAGGTTCTGATAACTACAACTTCATAAACAATTTTAAATGTGTAAGTCAAAGCTGAGGCTGCAGAGGCACTGATGGGAGGCCACACTAAAAGGCTGAAACGGTTACATTGTGGTTGGCACATTCATTGAGCGGTGTAACCCAATGCCCCTTTTCTCTGCAGAGATACGGGAACAGGAACAGGAAGACCAGCTTGTGGTTTACGAATCGAAAATCAGCAATGGAAATGTTTTTGACTCCACTGGTGGCTGTGCTAGTTCTGCAAAACAGAATGCATGAGTGATTTAAGAAATAACTAAATGAGTGTAAAACTGGGTGGTATTGGTGGCAGATGTCTGTGGTAACTCTAAAACCAGCTGAGTGCGAGCGTAAACACACCACACTGAGAGTCAGGTGAATGTTAATACAATAAATCATCAGCTCTGCCCTCATGTGTCCATCTGAAATTACTTCATGATAAATGATAGTGTTTGTTTCTGCTGATGGCTGATCAATTAATCATGCAGATTAACAGCCACACCCGTCGCCCACACTCTGTGTGTGAGGCAAGAAATGAGTCACAGGATTTGGCATAGGCAGGGTTTCCTTTATGTTCTTTAGATTGAGCAGGAAAAAGCTTCACCAGCTGCAGACTGCTTGGTATGGTACCCAGGTAAGCAGCACAAACTTGTTTTGATTTGTTTTCAGCTGCTAGACTGTCTTTGCTTATTATAATCATGAAATATGGCTGTTTGTGTGTTCAGATGCATGAAAAATGGGGAAAAAGGGTTTCCTTTTTCTCTCTCTTGAAACTGTTCTGTTCTTAGACGCATGTTTGTGGTGTTCCCAGCTGTCACTGTGCCACTTTCATTTCAGTAGACTGCTGTTTAACAAATATATGAAAGTGATCAGAAAAGGAATGAAATATAGTCAGAAATAATTACCTTGACGTTTTAATTATTCGATGAATATTTGATTATTATTAAAAGAAATGCTGGCATTTAAAAAAATGAAACCTAAACATTTCTGTAGCAGCTACAGTGTGTGTAATGAACATACTGCAGGAGCAGAACGATGACAGGGGTTGTGTACACACAGGTGCAGCGTTCGATACTGTCGACCATAATATCCTATTAGAGCGATTAGAACATGCTGTAGGTATTACAGGTACTGCACTGCAGTGGTTTGTATCATATCTATCTAATAGACTCCAGTTTGTGCATGTAAATGGAGAGTCCTCTTCACACACTGAGGTTAATTATGGAGTTCCACAGGGTTCAGTGCTAGGACCAATTCTGTTTACATTATACATGCTTCCCTTAGGCAGCATCATTAGAAGACATAGCATACATTTACACTGCTATGCTGATGACACCCAGCTCTGCCCCTGAAAAGCTTAGAAATATAATATCTAACCAGATTCTTCCTCTGGATGGCATTACCTTGGCCTCCAGTAACGCTGTGAGGAACCTTGGAGTCATTTTTGACCAGGACATGTCCTTCAATGCACATATTAAACAAATATGTAAGACTGCGTTCTTCCATTTGTGCAACATCTCTAAAGTTAGAAATATCCTGTCTCAGAGTGACGCTGAAAAACTAGTTCATGCATTTTTATTTATTGGCTTTTAATACAGCATGAGAGTTATTTGTTAATTCATAGTTGGTGTTTGCTTTTAATACTCTAAGTTGTTTTATTATGTATGTTGTATTCTTGTACAGCACTTTGGTCAACGCTCCTGTTGTAATTAAATGTGCTATATAAATAATTAAACTATTAAACTATTAAACTATGCATTTATTACTTCCAGGCTGGACGACTGTAATTCATTATTATCAGGAAGTCCTAAAAACTCCCTGAAAAGCCTTCAGCTAATCCAAAATGCTGCAGCAAGAGTCCTGACAGGGACTAGAAAGAGAGAGCAGATTTCTCCTGTTTTGGCTTCCTGTTAAATCCAGAATTCAAAATCCTGCTCCTCACATACAAGGTCTTAAATAATCAGGCCCCATCTTATCTTAATGACCTTGTAGTACCATATCACCCTATCAGAGCACTTCGCTCTCGCTCTGCAGGCCTACTTGTTGTTCCTAGAGTATTTAAAAGTAGAATGGGAGGCAGAGCCTTCAGTTTTCAGGCCCCTCTTCTGTGGAACCAGCTTCCAGTTTGGATTCAGGAGACAGACACTATCTCTACTTTTAAGATTAGGCTTCAAACTTTCCTTTTTGCTAAAGCATATAGTTAGCAGTGTTGGGAAGGTTACTTTTAAAATGTATTGCATTACAGAATACATGCCCCAAAATGTATTCTGTAACGTATTCCGTTAAGTTACTCAATGACAGTAACGTATTCTGAATACTTTGGATTACTTAATATATTATCGTGCTTTTTACAACTACATGAATGTACTATTGCTGTGTGATTTATTACTGTTACTGAAGGTCCGCGACTCCGAACTGTAGTAAAGGGACCTCTTGTCATGGTCCTGGGTCGGTGACCCAGCGCTTTTAGTTTGTTATCATTTCTAGATGATGATTGTTTAAGTTCTGTGTTATTTTCGGTCTGCCTCTGAGTCTGCGTCTGTATCTGTCTGTCTATGGTGTCTCCCCATCTGTTTGTGAATCTGTCTGTTTAGTTCAATGTCTTGTCTGGTTCCATGTATCTGAGTTTCCTGTTTTATTGTGAAGGTCCGTGTCATATGTGAGTGTGATCAGTTTACGTTTCCCCTGTCCCGTCAGCCCAGATTCCTCCCAGCTGTGTTGCCCTCCTGTCTCTCATCCCCTGATTACTGGTGTGTGTATTTAAGCCCTGTATGTTCTCCTGCCTGTTGCCGGTTCGTCTGTGTTCCTCTGTGTCAGTCTGTTACCCTGTGTTCCACGGTGTCCTGTTCCTCGTCTGCGTCTCTCTGCTATTCATCATCCGTTGTCATATGCTCCCAGGTCTGTTATTTTTAGTTCTCCCAGTTTAGGTGTCTTTAGTTGTTTGTTATGCCCCACTGTTTGTTTGCCACTACACCTCTGTAAATAAAACCACCGGTATCTCATCCACTGCCTGCATCTTGGGTCCTTCTTCCTACTCCACACGGCTCGCCTCGGCAGTCGTGACAGTACGAACCGGCCACTATGGACCCAGCAGCATTCAACCCGCCCAAGGAGCTCCGGGAGGACATTGTTTACTCCGTGGACAAATTAATCAACGCGTGGCTGGAGCACGAGGGGAGAGAATTTCGCCAAGCCGTGGCTAATCGGCTACAGCGCTTGGTTTCTGGTCTCCCCTGGCTGCTCAGCTCACTTCACCCGCTCGCACAGAATTTCATTCTGAATGGACTCAGTCTTCACCCCCGGCTGCTACCACCCACCCTGCAGCTCATGCTTCACTGCCCAGTCCGACGGAGGGTGTTCTGCCCGGCCCATCAACCCAGCCTTCGAGGGGGAAACAGCGCTCACGCTGCCGACGCTCCTCGCCACAGTTGGACCTGGGGATTTCCGAGCAGCCAGCTGTGGTGAGTGGACAGGACAGTATTGTTGGTCTGAACTGTGGGACCGTTTACTCAGGGGTGATGTTCTGTACGGCACAGGACAAAAACTGTTTAGAAGCTCAGTTGGCCGCCCGGCCAGAAGCTCAGTTGGCCGCCCGGCCAGAAGCTCAGTTGGCCGCCCGGCCAGAAGCCCAGTCGCCACCTCCGCCACATTCAGCCTCACAATCCATAGCTCAATTACAGTCACAGCCAGACTTATTACAAACCCTGTTACAATCCATGGCCCAGTCAGTAGCCCGGTTAGCAGAAGAATCATTAGCTTTATCCTCAGTTCAGCAGTCACCAGCCCTGCATCCTGTGTCAGTTGCTCCACTACCTGTTCAGCCATCACCTTCACCTACTCCTCCTGTACAGCAAGCCATGTCAGTCCAACCCATAACGGACAGTTCAACAACTCCGTACTCCAAGCAGAGAGACAAACCCAAGAACAATGTCAACATTCCTCAAAGGCTGGCCAGTTCTGAGACTGAGATGCACTCCAGGGCCTCCCCAGAAGCTGGGTTTCAGCCCCATTAGACTCTGGACCCTGGAGTTTAAGAAGCCAGCTGAGGACTGCACCCAGCTGTCGCTGCCTGAGCAGGGTCAATGCTCTGCGCAGCTGCAGGCCGCTATGTGTTTGCCAGAGGCCCGTGTGCCTGCTGGTTCTGTTGCGTTCCTGCCAGAGGCCCGTGTGCCTGCTGGTTCTGTTGCGTTCCTGCCAGAGGCCCGTGTGCCTGCTGGTTCTGTTGCGTTCCTGCCAGAGGTCTCCGCACCTGCTGGTTCTGTTCTGTGTGTGCCAGGGGCTCCAGTGCCCACTGGTTCTGAGACTGTTTTTGCTGGGGGGCCCGAGGAGCCCGTCCAGCCTCCTTCCTCGTCAGCTGGGGGCCCGAGGAGCCCGTCCAGCCACCAGCTGCTCCACCAGCAGCCTTATCCACGCTTGCAGCAGCAGTTTCATCCATGCCGCCACCTGCTGCAGCGCCTCCGTCTGCATCCTCCACGCCGTTGCCTGGCCCGGCCTCTGCTGCATCCTCCACGCCGTCGCCTGGTCCGGATTCAGCATCCTCAGCGCCGCCTGGTCCAGCGCATGCTCCGGCTTCATCCGCTTCAGCTGGTCCAGCCACTGCTACATCCTCGCCTGGTCCAGCCTCCGTGTCTTCATCCTCGCCTGGTCCAGCCTCCGTGTCTTCATCCTCGCCTGGTCCGGCCTCCGTGTCTTCATCCTCGCCTGGTCCAGCTCCCGCATCACCTGCAGTGGCCTCCTCTTCAGCTTCAGCTGCTTTGCCTGGTCCGGCTTCAGCGTCCTCATCAGCTGCTTTGCCTGGTCCGGCTTCAGCGTCCTCATCAGCTGCTTTGCCTGGTCCGGCCTCCGCGTCCTCATCAGCCTCGCCTGGTCCGGCCTCGTCTGGACCGGCCTCGGCATCCTCATCATCCTCATCAGCCTCGCCTGGGGCTGCAGGGGCCACGCAGCCTTCAGATCCACTACTACCACCTCCACATCTTCGGTCATCTGCCAGGCCGCTTGTTGGGCATCTCCGCCACCGTGGACGCCCTCCTGAATGCCCTCCTGAACACTGCCACTGCCTTCCGCACGGTCGGCCCCCAGAACTGTTTCCACGCCGCCGTTGCCGTCCGCACGGTCGGCCCCCAGAACTGTTTCCACGCCGCCGTTGCCGTCCGCACGGTCGGCCCCCAGAACTGTTTCCACGCCGCCGTTGCCGTCCGCATGGTCTGCTTCCTGAACTTGACCATCTGGGCCTTTTTGGACTCTGTCCCTCCGTCCTGGGCCCCTCCGCCCGCCCTGGTCGGGTTGTTTTCTGTTTTGTTTTGGTCCATTTTTTCGTTTCTGCTGGGCTGTCTGGTGCCAGCCCTTGAGGGGGGGGGTACTGTCATGGTCCTGGGTCGGTGACCCAGCGCTTTTAGTTTGTTATCATTTTCTAGATGATGATTGTTTAAGTTCTGTGTTATTTTCGATCTGCCTCTGAGTCTGCGTCTGTATCTGTCTGTCTATGGTGTCTCCCCATCTGTTTGTGAATCTGTCTGTTTAGTTCAATGTCTTGTCTGGTTCCATGTATCTGAGTTTCCTGTTTTATTGTGAAGGTCCGTGTCATATGTGAGTGTGATCAGTTTACGTTTCCCCTGTCCCGTCAGCCCAGATTCCTCCCAGCTGTGTTGCCCTCCTGTCTCTCATCCCCTGATTACTAGTGTGTGTGTATTTAAGCCCTGTGTGTTCTCCTGCCTGTTGCCGGTTCGTCTGTGTTCCTCCGTGTCAGTCTGTGTAACTCCGTGTCAGTCTGTTACCCTGTGTTCCACGGTGTCCTGTTCCTCGTCTGCGTCTCTCTGCTATTCATCATCCGTTGTCATATGCTCCCAGGTCTGTTATTTTTAGTTCTCCCAGTTTAGGTGTCTTTAGTTGTTTGTTATGCCCCACTGTTGTTTGCCACTACACCTCTGTAAATAAAACCACCGGTATCTCATCCACTGCCTGCATCTTGGGTCCTCCTTCTAAATCCACACGGCTCGCCTCGGCAGCCGTGACACCTCTGACTAATACGGCGGGGTCCCTGTCGGCTCGTAGCCGAAAAATAGCTTTACTTTGTGTGGGTCAACTTTTCTTGCGAGAGACAGAGAGAGGCGTTGAAAGGCTGCTCCAACGGAACTTACTGTTTCGGAGGAAAACAGGAACACGGTGTACAGTCGAGTCTTAACAGCTTACTTACAACTGGGCTCGTCAGGCACTCTTCTTGGCTGCAGTGGTTATTATTATATTTACATGCTTCCAGCTCCTGTTTTTCGTCGATGACAACTCGTACCTTTCCACTCCCCTTTTTCTCCCTCCTCGCGCTCACAGACCCATAACGTGTATGGCAGTGCATTCTCCCTGCAGCACGGACTACACTGCCCATGATGCTACATTCTTTAGAGCTATGCTTGTAGCCTTCTGCCTGTTAGCTTAGCACAACAACAACGAAAAGGCGCTCTCTCACCCAGGAAGCACACAGTCGCAGAGAGAGAGAGAGAGCGTCACCCTGTAACCATGGCAACCGTAACGCTGCCGCCTGGAACAGCAGAACGTAGCTGTCAAACAAAACCAAACAGTCCTGACCCGCGACAAAATGAAACAGGAAAGTACCGCAGTGTAATCCATTTATTTCAACAAAGTAACTGTATTCTGAATACCACCTTTTTAAACGGTACCTGTAACGGAATACAGTTACTCATATTTTGTATTTTAAATACGTAACGCCGCTACATGTATTCCGTTACTCCCCAACACTGATAGTTAGGGCTGGACCAGGTGACCCTGAATCCTCCCTTAGTTATGCTGCAATATGTGTAGGCTGCTGCATTGAATCATATCTGTTATTAACCTCTGTCTCTCTTCCACAGCATGTCTTTATCCTGTCTTCCTTCTCTCACCCCAACCAATCACAGCAGATGGCCCCGCCCCTCCCTGAGCCTGGTTCTGCTGGAGGTTTCTTCCTGTTAAAAGGGAGTTTTTCCTTCCCACTGTCGCCAAAGTGCTGCTCATAGGGGGTCATATGATTGTTGGGTTTTCTCTGTATCTATGAAGCGCGTTGAGGCGAATTTTGTTGTGATTTGGTGCTATATAAATAAAATTGAATTGAACAGGTGTCATGTACGAACAGCAATTTTCCATATTAGATCTAAAATAAAATAAAATGAAACTGTTGCTACATGCCTGCCACAGTTTCTGTCTTGGTTGATTACATCTTGCCCATGTGCAGTTCCTGCACTGATGAGAGTGTGTGAAAGTAATATTTCTGATCTACCCTTCCTTCCCTTTTAGTGTTCCATACCATTGATCGGTGGCCTTTTGACCTGGAATACACCCAGCAGCCATGACAACATCTGGTCCCAGGGCCTGCTTTATTCTCACCTTGCATGTCGTCATTTTTCTCTCACTGCTGTTCTACAACAGCTTCTTGACCCACCGCGAGCTGCAGAGTTACCCCAACGGTGCTCATGGAGACATCAGGATTCTGGTGTGGCACTGGCCGTTTGGCCGCTCCTACAGTCTGGACGGGAACAAATGCCTCAAGATGTATAACATCAGCCGTTGTTTACTCACTGATGACAGAGCTGACTTCTCTGCTGCCGACGTGGTTGTGTTCCACCACTATGAGCTGAGCAGAGGTCTTTCATCTGTGCCCCTACACCTGGATCGACCTACGTCTCAGCACTGGGTGTGGATGTCCTTGGAACCTCCTGTCAATAATGTGAACCTCACACATTTCAACGGCCTCTTTAACTGGACGATGAGCTACAGGCGTGATGCAGACATATCCATTCCTTATGGGCAAACAATGCTGGGAGGTGATAATCTAAGTTTTCCAGCTGCTCCAAATCGCTCCTGCTTTGCCAGCTGGGTGGTCAGCAAATACAAGCCTCAACAGACTCGGGCTGCTTTTTATCAAAGACTAAAGAAGCATATCCCCATAGAGGTGTATGGCAGGTGGAACAAGAAACCCTTGCCAGACAAGAAGCTTTTGCCCACCATTTCAAACTGTCTGTTCTACCTTTCTTTTGAGAACTCTGAGAAAAAAGACTACATCAGTGAGAAACTCTGGAGGAACGCTTTTCAAGCAGGGGCTGTACCAGTGGTTCTCGGCCCCAACAAGGCCACCTACGAAGCCATGACCCCCCCACATTCCTTTATCCATGTAGCTGATTTCAATAGCCCAGCTGATCTGGCAACATATCTGAAGGTTTTGTCTGCAGACAGGCAGGCCTATGAGAAATACTTGGAGTGGCACAACACCTACCGAATTAAAACCTACAGTGACTGGAGAGAAAGGCTGTGTCAGATCTGTGTCAGGTATCCCAGTTTACCAGCCAGGAAAGTCTACCACGACCTGGACAGCTGGGTGAACGGCTAGTGTCTGATTTCTTCACCAAAGGTTTCAGACTGCGGATTCTGCTGAGTTTCCACATGCAAATGTAAAATGCAGAACACTTGAAGTACAGTGGAAGAGAATTTGTTGCACAGTCAGTTAATTTTGGTAAACGGTGAGAAACTGCAAGTTGAAGCAGGTGGGTAGGTTGCTAATAATCACGTTACACATGTTCGAACTACAGGTAAACGTGCCACTGAACAAGAAGCACGGTTTTTGTTAGTACTGACTGCTGGTGTGCAGTATCGTCTCAAAGGACATGAGCGATGGCAGATACACACTACAGATACATTTCATTACATGGTACCAGACTGAAATAATAATTCAGGGCTCCATGCTGGGCCACTGTGTTTTATTTAGGGCTATTCTTTGTGAGCAGTAGCAGATATTCTCCTGCCACTGCTGGACATTTCTCTGCTGTTTATCAGAATATTGGTGCCCCTTCCTTGGAAGGCGCATTAACATTTGCTTACTTTGTTCAATGCCACTTGTTCAAATGTTCTTGATGTTCCTTAGTGCACTAGACCTAAAACTGATCGCTGGTTACACGATGTCACTCGGGCCTCAGAAGGACGTGCAGGAAAGCGGAAAGAAAATGGAAAAAAGATCAACTCCAGATCTCCTTTCATATGTTAGGAGGAGCCCTGTTTCTTTATCAGGATGCTGTTCGAAAAGCAAAACTAAGTATTTATCAGATATCATCTCTAACTACAGCTACACGCCCTGTGTCTTATTCAACATCATTAATTCTGTTGTCAACCCTCCACTCACCACACATTCACCCATTTCCCCAAAAACAATCAGTTCTGTCTCTAAACTCCCCTTCCTGTCCAAAATCCTGGAAAAAGCTCCAGATTAATGACATCTCAGAAACATTCAGCCTGGTTTTAAAGCGCTACATAGCACCGAGCTTGTGCTTTTAAACGTTTTTAATGATCTTTTATTAATTGCTGACTCTGGTAACTCTGCTATTTTAGTGCTTTTAGATCTAAGTGCGGCATTTGATACAGTGGATCATGGGATTCTCTTATCATGACTGGAGAGCTGTGTGGGTATTAAAGGAACTGCATGGTTCAGATCTTATTTAACTGATAGAAGTTTTTCTGTCAGGTTTGGTGGCTCTTCATCCTCATGATGAAGGCTCTAAAAGTTTTGCTAGACGGCCTTGCCCATATGGAAAAGAAATAGTAAAAACTTACATGATTTACTCATGAAAGTTCCAGTAAGTATCCAAAACATACAAGTTTCATTATATAATTTTTCAAGGGATCTTACATCTGTTTTCACTCTTGTATGCTTTTCATACAAGTTTCACACAAGACGGAACAAACTTTATAAGGTTTATAAATATCTTTTCCATATGGGTGATGACATTAAATCATGGTTTGCATTAAATCTTTTGAATGTAAATGATCAAAAAACTGAGATTGAACTATTTGGACCTTCTGAGCCTCACTCTTCTCTTAAGGTTGACCTTGGTGCTCTGGAAAGTCCAGAGGTCCCGAATCTTCGAGTGTTCTTTGATGACAGTTTTTCATTTGAGAAAAAATAAATTCTGAACAAGCCCGACTCTTGACAGGCTCTCGTAAACACAACCACATTTCCCCGGTCTTGCTTCGTTGACACTGGCTTCCAGTACGTTGTAGAATTGATTTTAACATTTTATTGCTTGTTTTTAAATCTCTAAATGGATTAGCTCCATCATACCTCTCTGATCTGGTAACTAAAAATACTCCAAACAGAACTCTCAGGCAGCTGATAAGTTGCTTCTAGCTGTCCCTGGCAGCAGGCTAAAACACAGAGGAGATCGGGGCGATCGCTGCGCCCAAACTTTGGATCATCTTCATATTAGGATCTCTCCCACACTCGACATTTTTAAAACCTTTCTGAAAACACATTTTTACTGAGTGTTGTTTTGTTCTTTGTGTGTTTGATCTACTTTTCACTTTTTTACTATGTACAGCACGCTGGCCAACCTGTGTTGTTTTCAAACGTGCTTATAAATAAATTGATTGATTGATTGTGTGGTTTAAAAGAATTCACCTTAATGGTATTATTGGATGTCTGCTATGTAATAATAAAATGAGAGTGCCATCAGTTAAATATGCATTTTTCGTCTTTTTGGCATTTGATGACAATTTTAATGGCAAATGGAGCTGGAGAGTGTCGCTGTTTGTACAAAAGATGCACGGGCAGAACAACCGGACATTTTTAACATATGTTGTTATTAACGTGATAATTTCCAGTTTGAAATACTGAAAATGATGTGTGTGTCTGATAGACGAGTCTGTCTTAACACAGAGTTTTCAAGGTGTGTGAAGGCCACCATCCAATCAGCCAGAGTATATGTGTACATATGTGGAAATATCAGAATGAAACAGAACATAGACACAAATAGGCTGTGTCTATTTTTTGTGTTTTTAGCTGACTTGCTCTCTGTACTTCAACATTTAGCTGCATCTGTTTTTTAAACTCTCATTTTCACCACCGTTCCACTGACACAGACACGATTTGCTGAGAGACGAAGGATGACACGGACTAATTTGGTGCTGGTTGGAGCGTCCGTTTAAAGTTGTATTGAATGTTTCTAAAGCATGCTATGATATGCAGGGTTTTCACATGGTTTGGTGCATTTGCTCTGTGAACGAGGTCCATTGTCTCGCTGCAGTGTGAACCGTTTTTCACAAGATGCAAAGCAGAATGTGAAGCATTTCTCTGAAGCATAAAGTGCCACTTCCTCCTGATGAGGGTGGAGTTGATTCAGTGTCCAAATCTCTACATCATCAAAAACTTGGTGCTCGGCTCTTTCTTTGTGAAATGCCGGTTTGTCACAAGTCAAGTCAGCCAGTGATTGTTAGTTATTGGATGAATAAAGAGAATAACAAACAATGAAAATGTGGTGTGTGTTATTTCAGCGATAGATGTGATGGGTGCGTCGATGACTGAGATAAAAGCATGTGGTTTCACACTCAGATCCACCCCTCACTAATTCAAACTCTCTGTGTGGAGGTTGGGACAAAAACCTCAGAGTCGAGACTTCATTATACCACAACATCACTGCGGGCATGTTTCACCCGCTGTGGTTTCATCTTCTATGAGTGTCTGAGTTTCTGTTTTTAATGTGATGATCTTTTAAAATGACTACAATTAATACAAATGGCCCATCAACATCATGGGTGAGGTCTATACAAATAAACAATACACTTCAAATAAAATTGCCAAGAGCAGCTGGTAAGAGTCTTATAGTATAATATATATGTCCCAGTGTTTTGAGTTTTACATTATTATTGGACTTTGATTTTGTCATCATTTATCATTTCTAGTCTTTTGTTACAATGTTACAGTTCTTAGTCTTCTGGTTCTGTCTCTGTGGGCCATGGTTGTGGTCGATCCTGTCAGCTGTATCCCCTTGTGAAGTCAGCGCCTCTGTGTTATGTTTCCTGTTTTACTTTGAAAGTCTATGTCTTATGTCAGTGCTTCTGGTTTTGCTTCCCTTGTTCTGTTCAGTTTGTTTCTATTTAGTTTGAATGCTTGTATTTATAAATTGGTTTCTTTCTTTCTTTCTTTCTTTCTTTATTTATTTATTTGTCACATGTAGTTATAACTAGTACAACACACAGTGAAATGTTTTTTCCGGCTAAAAAGTACTCCCCCCCCCGACTGTGCATCTTACTAAACTTATAATAAAAAAATATCTATATAAAAGTATAAAAATGTATAATATCGTGCAAAATATTACGCTGTAATAGTTAAGAGCTATAGTGTACGTATTTACGTAAATACAGATGTAAATGATAAAATACAAATAAAAATAAGGATAAAACTCAAAAGAAAATTATATACTGTGTATGGAATTGTCCATCATGTTGTCCGATTTGTGTTTTGATTGAGGAGTCTCACAGTTTGTGGGTAAAAACTCCTCCTGAACCTTTCAGTTCTTGTTTTCAGGCTACAGAGGCGTTTCCCTGACCTCAGTGGCCTGAACAGTTTGTAAGCGGGATGGCTGGAGTCGTTAGTGATCCTGATGGCCCGGGATCTGCACCTTTCAGCGTAGATGTCCTGCAGTGTTGGTAAAGATGTTCCCATATTTATCTTCACATAAAACCACCCTCTACAATGGATATACTTATGAATTGGAGTGTTATATGGAATTCCACATTGTAACATTTTTTTTTCATACTTTAATTACATTTATGCACATATTACAATCTCTCGTTGGGAGACAACATTAGTGCAACAACATCTTGAAAAGGTTGAATAAGAAACCAAACGAAAAAAAACAAAAAAAACCAAAAACAAAAACACATATATACATATACATAAATATATGAAGGCCATTTTTATGACATATAACAGTTTCCTTTCTGCGAACACTTTAACATACATGTGGCTTACTTAGTACACCAAAATCACAATCATTCAAAGGATAGAGATTGAGTCCCATTGTCGCATATCAAAGCAGCCTCTTTACATGAATCCCTCAGTAATTCTAAAGATGACAAAAAAGATTTTAATTCAATTTTCAATACAGTTAGGGAAGGTCTTTTACTTTGCCATTTGCATTTGTGTATGTGGTATTTGCCCATAATTATCACCACCTTGTGTAGCATGGACAGTTTCTTAGATGGATCACCATTATTATATAAAACTTGTGTTAGAGTCAGTGGGGTCATCCCATCTATTCTTATACTCAACCAGTCTACTAAATCTTGCCAAAAGTCAGTTGTTACTGAGCAGGAAAAAAACAAATGATCAATACTTTCCACATTTTTTGAACAAAATCCACATGGCTCTACCTCAAACCCAAACCTTTTTTTAAGCATTTCAGCTGCTGGGTAATATCCATTAATTATTTTAAATTGCATTTCTTTGACTTTGGGGGGGATAGGCCATTTTAAAAAGTGCGTATATTTGTTCGTTAATTCCACATTGTAACATGGATAGACAGACAGATTTCAAAACAGCCAGCTGGAATGTTAAAGGGTTGAATAATGGGATTAAGAGGAAGAAAATATTAACATATCTAAAGTTACCAAGAGTTGATATAGCCTTTATTTAAGAAATGCACATGTGTAAGTCAGAAGCCTTAAAACTTAAATGTTCCTGGGCAGGTAAAGTCTTTTCCAGTCCTGGAGCTGGTAAAAGTAGGGCAGTGTCGGTTCTGATTCATAAAGCAGTTAGCTTTACTGAAACAAAAGTAATAACAGATAAGGAAGGTAGATTTATATTGGCCCTAACTACTGGACACACCAATAATTTTATGTAATATCTATGCACCTAATGCGGACATACCCGCCTTTTTTCATAACCTGTCACAGTATCTTTTGGAATTAGAAGTGCACAAATAGTGGTAGGAGGAGATTTTAATCAAATACTGGATCAAGACCTAGATAGATCACTTAGGAGAGGCACAGAGAGTAAATCTGTAGTTGCCACAAGGCAGATGACCTCAGATTTAGGTCTGAATGATATTTGGCAGACAATGCATCCAGAAGGCAGGGAATACTCCTT